TAATTCATTATCCATATGATTCTTAGTCATTGAAGGGGTGACTTATCTTTCTTGATTAGGGGTATTTCTAGCTGGTATGTTGAGGTTTCTGCAGTGTAGCCAATAGGTTAAAAACCCCTTAAACACGGGTAAGTATGAAAAGAAGACAGTGCAGACTTGATTATTAGAGGTGAATACCTGCTGTCTGTTCCTCCTTCTGACAGTGATGCACTGGAAGGTTTGGAATTAGTCCTTTATCCTCTCTTGATCTGTGTTTCTGCTTATATAACAGGCAAAAATTCTGGCCTACATTGCTTTGGCTTTTTTTTTAAACTTATGTAGTACTTAAAAGCACTCTGACAGATGAAAGTCGTGATGTAAGTTTATAACATTAAATAACGATTCACTGGACTGAGTTGTAATGGAATGTGCAGAGCTGCCATGGGCTATGTGCTCAGCAAGATGTTAGCAAAGGGAAGGATGAAATTCAGGGCATGTGACACTGGTTTTGCGAACCACTGAAAAGTTAAAATGTCGAAGTCAAAACCCCAAGAGGTGATGAGTTGGGCTCAACAAGCTGTACCAACAGAGCAGGGACAGAGGGCTATGCTGTGACGGTGTTAGGCCAACCGTTGTCTCTTGCTCTGTGTCAACAGCTGCAGGCGATTGAGAGTGTGTCATTTAGTCACTGATTGCAGCTTTCTGGATGCACTATGCCCACCAGCAATGGCCAAGTAACTCCAATGTTATCAGAGCCCCGTGTTAAACAACTCTAGCTTGGCCAGGAGGTTAAAAAAACAGGTATGCATGGGAGAAGTTGCATGCTTTTTGTCTTGGTTAAGAACTCCCAATATTTATCCATGGTCAGTTCAAGCAGATTTTACTCTATCTATTTTCTCACCTTTCAGTTAATTGGCGTGGCTGGCTACATTAGTATGAAAGGCAGACTGGCTTCGTAGTTTTAAGAGATGATTTAGTATTGAGGGATAGGTAACATATGCATATTTTGCAGAAAACCCATTCCTCAGCTTTACTAAAAACATAATCATAATTTTTCAGAGGCATTTGTTTGATTTCGAGTTTATTGTGATTAAAGTGCAGTATATTGTGTTTCTTGGTAGTTTTCCCCTTGTGTCCTGATGTTATCTGCTGCTGGCCTGTCTTCATTGTGTTTACCCTGCTCCTGCTGTGCTGATTACAGTGGCATCCTGTGCTGACCATGCTAAAGGAGCGCATTGAAGAGTCCACTGGCTATACCTTCAACTCTCTTCTCTGCAACCTCTACCGAAATGAGAAGGATAGCGTAGACTGGCACAGTGACGATGAACCATCACTGGGAAAAAATCCTGTCATTGCCTCACTCAGCTTTGGTGCTACCCGGACCTTTGAGATGAGGAAGAAACCCTCCCCTGTGAGTGTTCATATCACATTGAGAGAGTCGTATAGTTGCTAATATGTTTAGCATTTTCCCTCCGTTTAGAGAACTTAAATGCTAAAAGCAGTTAATGAAAGCACAACTCGTAAAACTCTGTGGAATAAGCATAGGGATCAAGAAACCTGTTGTGTGAAATGTGGCATCTTGATTATGGGAACGGGACCACTCTAATAATGTGCAGCAGTGTAGTGGTGCAGTGAAATTGCGACCTGGGCACTCTTCTGACCAAATAAGGGCCTTTCCCATTACTTAAAATGAAATCAGTGGTGGTGGAAGGGCACTTGCAGTGTGTAGATGAACCAAAGACTTGATACCACTTTCTTAAACTCAGGCAAACATTGTGCAATGCATAGGGTCTGTAGGATGAAGAGTAGCTCTGACTGCTCTTGTAAGTAAAAATCGTCTTAATAATGTTTGCATTTTGACTTGTGTGTGTTCAGATTGAGGGACAGTGAACAGACAGAAGGAGCTCATTTCTTTTCCATAAAATACCAAACTGTCGCATCATACTTCACAGATTAGACAGAGATCTTTACTTTGATAAGGAGGCATGCGTGGAACATCCTTTCAGGAATTAGTTGGTGATTCAGTAGTGAATACGCTTTCTAAATAAAATGCTGTGCTTGGGAATACTGTGTTTACAAGACAACTTAAAACTTAAATTTTGCAATTTGTATTTATTCAAGTAAAGGAATCACACACTCCTGTGTTGAGACAACAGGCCTCATTTTAGGGTATTCTGCTTCAGGTGTCTTTTCTGCGTGTGTGGTCTTTGAGAACCTTGGGAATAAGTTTGCTGTCTGCTTATGTTGCTATTTATTCAGAATAAGTAATACAGAAAGCAAAGGTGATGATTATCATAGAATCATAGAATGTTTTGGGTTGGAAGGGACCCCTAGAGGTCGTCTAGTCCAACCCCCCTGCAGGAGCAGGGGCACCGCTAACTAGATCAGGCTGCTCAGAGCCCTGTCCAACCTGGTCTTGAATGCTTCCAGGGATGGGGCCTCTACCACCTCTCTGGGCAACCCGTGCCAGTGTTTCACCACCCTCATTGTAAAGAACTTCTTCCTTATATCTAGTCTAAACCTACCCTGGTTTAGTTTAAAACCATTACCCCTTGTCTTGTCACTGCTGGCCCTACTAAAAAGATTTTCCCCATCTTTCCTATAGGCCCCCTTTAGGTACTGAAAGGCCGCAATCAGGTCTCCCCGCAGCCTTCTCTTCTCCAGGCTGAACAAGCCCAACTCCCTCAGCCTGTCCTCATAGGAGAGGTGCTCCAGCCCTCGGATCATTTTTGTGGCCCTCCTCTGGACCCGCTCCAACACTTCCATGTCCTTCTTGTGCTGAGGGCTCCAGAGCTGGACACAGTACACCAGGTGAGGTCTCATTAGAGCGGAGTAGAGGGGCAGAATCACCTCCCTCGACCTGCTGGCCAC